AGTTTAATTGCTTCTTTCCTAAATAAATTAAGCCTGTTATTTCTCTCATCATGAGAACTGTTCCACTGAGATTTCCATGACTTTAAGTCTTCCTCCTTATCCCTGCTCACTGGTTTCTAATATCCCGACTTGACTATTCTGTCTGACATTTTATAAGGAATAGGTTGTGGGCAAAAATCCTTTAATCATTCATTTACTTATAATAAATATTAATAGTTATTATTGCAAATGTTGGATTCCCCCCAAACTAAGGATTTTTCTAAGTCTCCAACCATTGACAAGGAAAAGCACCAAGGTAAAAATTATATTGAATTACATTGACTATATTGTTAAAATGATAACTTTTTATTGATTTTTATACACTTTCAACCATTTACTTTTTACAGCCAACACATAATTCAGTAACATATGCAAGAGCCTTAATAACATTAAGTCTATCTTTCAAATATAGAAACTGAGGCTGGCATAGAGGCAATAACTATTCCAATGGCACTTTTTGACCAGTGTTCAAGAGAGAGCTCTTCCAACAGAACTTACGCATTCTCTCTAGCAGGATTTCAGATTAATGATTCCAAATTCAGGATTTTCAGCACCCTTTCACAAGGATCAAGGTAAGCTTCTGTATCCATGTATGTTTTCTATGATGAGTGTGAACCATATATAAGAATTAAGTAAGCTGCAGCTCTCATGATTATCTGAGCTCAAAATAAGACGTCATGATCAGTTTTTTATATAGTTGAACTAGGGTCTCAATGAAAAAAATACTGGTCTCAGTAGGGGTTCATTGACACTCATAAAACACGAACTGTTGTATGTGTTTCTAAAGAAGATCGGCAAAAATGTAGGATAAATGAGCTCTGATTAAGCAAATAGTAATTTCACCTTATTCACTATTTGTTTTGCCTGACATTCTAGGGAGATCAAAACAGAACAGTTTGAACTGATAGTTCTTTAGACTCTGGAAAGATCTTCATGAAATTATTTTGGTTTATAACCCATTTTGGTATTTTTTACATGATAATCTCACCATTATCTTTACATTTAGAAAAGCTGGCAATATGGTAGTTCAGAGCACAGATTGTATGCACATTTGAATCTTGAATCTGCTTCATAGTAGACATGCTATTTTAGAAAGTGGCACAACATCTCAAATAATGCTTCTTATTCTGTAAAATATTGACAATAGTACTAATTTGAAGTGTAGTTCTAAAGTTGAAATAAGATGTATTAAAATCTAAGTCTATAATTCTCTTCTAAGTGTTCACAGTATATAACGTGTGTTATAAAAACTTACAGGTTATGATATCGTTTATGTTGGAAATTGGCAAATGCCTGTATAAACTAGAAATTTAAGTGAGTTAGAAAATGGCTAGGAGAAAGACGATAGAGAAGGTAGTTGCAGATAATGGATGTGCTGCTAAGACGCCCCCACATTCAAACGAGAAAACAAACATGTCACTAGCCACAAGAATACATCTGCAGGCTATAATAAAACCAATAATCCATAAATGTTAAACCAGTATCTCTATGATTCACCTAAAGAATGAGACTAAAGAGAGTAGAATAAGTTTTAGAAAAGGAAACACCTCAAAAAGTAAAATAGAAAAGACATTAAGCAGAAATAAGATACAAATCCCTGGATTCTTTTTTGAAATGGCTGTCACACCATGAGACACCATGGAAAAGATAAAGTGGACCTACTGTGTGAGAAAAGATAAATATAAGAGTGGGACTACCAGATTTCACATGCACCCACCCATTGAGGTCCTACATATCACCACCCAGTTTATCCAAACAAACTAAGATGGAGAACATAATTTCATCCTAGTAATAAATAATATTATAACAAGCACTCGTCAAAACTGTGCTGAGCCCCCGCATTGTGCTAACTGGTTTCTGTGCACTATTTCCTTTAATTGCTGTAATAGTCCCTTTTAATAAATCCTATTACCTGCTCCATTTTACAAATTAGTAAAATGAGGATTAAAGAAGCTATGGTAGGACTGATGGCTTCCACTAGTAAGCGGTGGGGCTGTTATTTGAATGCATAAGCACCTCTTCAAAGCCCAACCTCTTAACATTCAACATCATACCTTCTCTTTAGAATTGCCTTCGCTTCTTGTGCATACATGTACTGCTGCTGAGCTATTATATAAATATTTCAGTTGCTCTACTTGCTGCTGTAAGCATTGAATCTGGTCTAGTGTATATAGCTAGTAAAAGTAAGTTGAATTAAATTAAATTAAATATCGGATAAAAGCCTGAATCTTGAGAATGCTCAAGTTTAAAACTTGTCTGTCATTGATACTCATATAAATCTGCACAAAATACTCAATTTTTAAGCTTGTCCAGAAGATTAAAAATATTCTGTGTGTGTGTGTGTGTGTGTGTGTGTGTGTGTGTGTGTGTGTGTGTGTGTGTGTGTGTGTGTGTGTGTGTGTGTGTGTGTGTGTGTGAGTGCGTGTGTGCCCTTATGTGTATGCATGCCCATACAACCTTGAAATGAACACTGTACATTGTAGTGTTAATATATTTTGATGATCTGATTTGGGAGATGTACTTTTTGCAAATATGCGAACTTAGATAAATGTTAACCTTTCTCAGCACCATTACACCTCAACTTACTCATTTCCAAAAGTGGAATTTGAGCATGTGAATTGTGTGGCTATATCAGCCTCAACATTCTGTGACAACATAATTTATCACCAAATGCTTCGCTTTGTTTAAATTAATGCTTTAGATTAGATGATGATAATAAAGGCCAAATTATGATCATAATGAAATGAAGAGATAATAGAATGTGTGTGTGTGTGTGTGTGTGTGTGTGTGTGTGTGTGTGTGTACACATGCCTGAGAAACCACTTAACATTATCAGTGCAATCTCTTTTGGCATTTAATTCACATGAAGAATGCCTGATTTTATCCTGGTAAGTCCAAACAATATCCCAGACCTACAGGTTCTCCTCTGTATCCTGTTGACTGTTACCGACTTCATCACTCTGCCTGGGAATATAGAAATGATGTTAATCCTGTTGGATTTTCGTCTACAGAGTATATGTACTTCACTTCACTATCCCATGTCTGATGGATGGACTTTTATTTAACAGCGACTTCTAAGGTTATGGCTGGGTTCCTCAGAACAAACAAAGCCATCTCCTATAACACTTGAGCTACTCTGATTTTTTTTGTAGCCTTTGCGCTTGTGGAAAACGTACTCTTAGCTTCAATGACCTAGGTATGCTAGGCAGCAGTGTGTAATCTCCTCCATTCCTCCAGTAGAGTAAGAGTATGTCCTTGGCTGGCCATAGGCTCCTACAATATAAAATAGGCCAAATAAATATTTAAAAAATCATAGAAATCAAAAAATAAGTAAATTATAAAAACCACTAGATAAAAAATTATGTAGAAGTTTACAATGTGATCTAATTTGGGAACTTACAGCATATTTATTAATTATATCTTTAACTGAAATGATTTTAAAAGCCCACCTAGAATAAAACATGACAATATCTATCAGTAATAAGCACAATGTACATTTCATGTGCTAATATAATCAACAATATTCATGCTTTTGATTTATGGGGATACTCACAACTATATAAAACCTACCTGTAACAATGTAAATTTTTTTTGAGGTTTTTGCTATAGGGCACATGTGCTTGCCAGACAGACAGAGAGAGACAGAGAGACAGAAAGCGAGAAATCACCCCCCCCCAGGGGGGATGGGGGATGGCCATGCCGCAATCCCTTCTCCTCCCGCCTCCTCTTGGGATCTTGGGCACACAGGCACATGTGCCTGACGTGAGTTTAAGCCACTGGGTCTGGGACTTGACCTGCGGTCGACTACATGAGAGTCCAGCAACATAGCCTTTATGCTAACTGCTGGTCCCACAATGTAAATATTTTAGATATCATTAAATAGTATACTTAGAAATGGCTTAAATGGTAAATTTTTCTTGTGCTTATGATAGCACAATAAACATAATCACACTCTCACACACAAATCTCAATTTGAATTTTATTTCAACCAGGTTTTTTGATATAGAGCAGTTTCTGGAGACCAGAACTCCAAAATATATTTTACTAGCAATTGCATAGTTGGAGTCCTACACCAGGATGCTTGAGGAACGTGCTGGACACGTGTGCATATTTGCCCCAAATCCCAAGAGAAGAATGGAGGAGAAGGGATTGTAATGTGACCATCCCTCCTGGGGAGTGCTTTCCTGTTTCTCTCTTTCTCTCTCTCTCTCTTTCCCCAGAAAGCACATGCTATAGCAAATTAATAAAAATGTAAAATAAAATAGAGGAGAGAGATATCATTTGACTATGTGACTAAAAGGCAGGTGATTAGAATTACAGAAGGTCATCAGGTGAGTTCCCATTATTAAATTCTGGTGGCATTATGAGACAGATGGAAAGACAGAGACACACCCACTGATGCACAAACTCTGCACTCTCATCATGTAATACCCTTAGCTGCCTCAGGGTTCTTCATAGATCCATATCAACAAGAATACCCTCACTAGGGACCAGCAGTTAGCGTAATGGCTATGTCACTGGACTCCCACATAGTCGACTGCGGTTCGCCTCTGGGACCCGGTGGTGTAAAACTCACTCTGGGCGCGTGTGCATGTGTGCCCCAGATCCTGAGAGGAGAATGGAGGAGAAGGGATTGCGGCATGGCCATCCCCCTGGGGGGTGATTTCTCGCTTTCTGTCTCTCTGTCTCTGTCTGTCTGGCGAGCGCACACGCCCCATGGCAAAAATCTGTCCAAAAAAAATATCCTCCTAGATGTTTCCCCTTGATTTTGGACCTCTAAAACAGAAGTTGAATATATCTCCATTCTTTATAAATCATCCAGACTCATATGATCAGTTGTTAGCAACAGAAGGTGAACAAATGGTTTATAAACCTTTCAATTTTGCTGCAATCCCTACTGCACTTAATACTCTGTTTTTCTTATTTCTCATTGCTATAGGGTACCTAATGCTTCCTAAATAATGTTGATGGAAAACACAACAGTAGTAACACAGTTCATACTGCTAGGACTAACCAATGCTCCGGGATTACAAGTACCATTCTTTATCATGTTTACGCTCATCTACCTCATCAATGTGGTTGGAAACCTAGGGATGATCGGATTGATTCTCTGGGACTCTAATCTCCACACTCCAATGTACTTTTTTCTCAGTAACCTGTCTCTGGTGGACTTTTGTTACTCTTCAGCTGTCACTCCCACAGTCATAGCTGGGCTACTTACAGGAGACAAGATCATCTCCTACAAGGCTTGTGCTGCTCAGGCATTCTTTTTCGGATCCTTTGCCAGTGTGGAGAATTTACTCTTGGCCTCAATGGCCTATGACCGCTATGCAGCAGTGTGTAGACCCCTGCACTACACCACCACCATGACAAAAAGTGTGTGTGCATGGCTGGCTATCGGCTGTTATGTCGGTGGTTTTATAAATGCCTCCTTCCACACTGGGGAAACATTCAGTCTCTCTTTCTGTAAGTTCAATGTGGTCCATCACTTTTTCTGTGATGTGCCAGCAGTCATGGCTCTGTCTTGTTCTGATAAACATGTTAATGAACTAGTTCTTGTTTATGTGGCCAGTTTCAATATCTTTTTTGCCCTTCTAGTTATCTTGGTATCCTATCTATTCATTTTTATTACCATCCTAAAGATACGCTCAGCTGCAGGATACCAGAAGGCTTTCTCCACCTGTGCCTCCCACCTCACGGCAGTCTCCATCTTTTATGGGACTGTTATTTTCATGTATATACAACCCAGCTCCAGTCATTCCATGGATACAGATAAAATTGCAGCTGTATTTTATACTATGGTCATCCCCATGCTGAACCCGTTGGTCTATAGCCTGAGGAACAAAGAAGTGAAGAACGCATTCAAGAAGGTTGTTGAAAAGACAAAATTGTCTCTGTCACTGTGAGTTTAACTCCGTAGAATGCACCATAATTTAGTTCTCTAATTTTCTCCAGAGAAATTGATATTTAGAGGCTCCATCTGAAGTTAAATTCTGGAAGTAATACCCTTAATATTTTCAAAAGACTGATTTAAAAAAAAATAAAACCTAATGATAAAAAAAACCATAATATACGCATACCTCAGAGATACTGTGGAATTCCAAGGCACAGTAAGTGCAGCAAAGTAAGTCCCACAAATTATTTTGGTTTCCCTGTGTGTATAGAAGTTATGCTTAGATTATACTGTATCTATTGTATAAAACAGCATTACCTCTCTTTTTAAAAGTTTGTACTTTATTACTTGATCCCACTGTGGTAGCACATTGCTATTTGGCAAGCAAAGGAGGCTTGATTAAATTTGTTTAAATTGCCAACCCAACCTAAAAGCCAAGTGCCTGGAGTCCCAGCTACTCAGGAGGATCATGATATAGTGAGACTATTTAAGAAAAGAAAAAAATACTTTATTTCTTAAAAATACTAATAATGATCTAAACCAGCGAGCTGGAATAATTTTACTGGTGGAGAGTTTGCCTTGATGTTTATGACTGCTGACTAATCAAGGTAGTGTTATTGAAGGTTGAAATGGATGTAGCAATTTTTAAAAATAAGACAAAGTTTCCTGCATGAAAGATTTTTCTGTAGCATAAAATTCTACTTGATAGAGTTTTACCCATCGTAGAACTTTTTAAAAATTGGAATAAATCTTAAGTCCTGCTGCTGTTTTATCAAGTAAGTTCATGTAATAGTCGAAATCCTTTGTCATTTCAGCAATGTTCACGTCCTTCTGATGGTGAGCAGATTCCATCTCAAAAACAAAACAAAAGGGAACCAGCAGTTAGCGTAATGGCTATGTCGCTGGACTTCCACATAGTCGACCGCGGTTCGTGTCCCGGACCCGGTGGCCTAAAACTCACGCTGGGCACATGTGCGTGCATGCCTAAGATCCAGAGAGGAGAATGGAGGAGAAGGGATTGTGGCGTGACGATCCCTCCTGGGGGGTGATTTCTCGCTTTCTGTCTCTCTGTCTCTCTCTGTCTGTCTGGAGGGCGCATGCGCCCTATAGCGAAAACCTCTCCAAAAAAAAAAAAAAAACTTTCTTTGCTTATCCATAAAAAGCAATCTCTCAGGAATCAGCAGTTAGCGAAAAGGCTATGTCACTGGACTCCCATGTAGTCGACTGTGGTTCAAGTCCTGGACCCGGAGATCATCCATGAGGGATTGTTTTTTCTAAGCAGTAGTTCTCGACAGTGGGCTTAAAATATTTAATAAATGATGTTGTTCACCATTGTGCTATCACCTAGGGTATTTTTTCATTTATAGAGCATATGCAGAGTAAATTTAGTATAATTTTAAGGTCCAAAGGATTTTCCGAATGTAAATGAATATAAGCTTCAAACTTAAAGTCACCAGCATTGTTAGCCCCTAACAAGTGTCTATTTTTTTTTTGTATATTTGAAACTAGGCATTGACTTCTCTCTAAATGTGAAAGTACTAGATGGCCTCTTCTTCATATATATAATATATGTGTGTGTGTGTATGTAGTATTTATATATATGTACATATACACACACATATGTATATATGTATATATACACACGTATGTATATATGTATACGCATATATATGTATATATACACACATATATGTATATACACACATATTATATATATTATATATATGCACACACATATATATATATACACACATATAAATATTTTAAATATTTATATTTAATCACTGAACATCTTTACAGAGTACAAAATGTTTTTTCACCATGAACACCGTGCATATTAGTCAAATCGAAGAAATTACCATGTACATTGTCATTATTAAGTTTAATAGCCTATAGCTCTTGATTTAAAGATGTGTGACTCTTTCATGCAAACACTCTGTGGCCATTATAGGGTTATTAGTGTAATAGGCCTAATTTTAATATTATCGTGTTTAGGAAGTAGGAAGGTCTGAGGAGAAGGAAAAAAGATGAATGAATGTCCAGTGAGTGGAGCAATCAGAACAAACAAAACATTTGTATATTCAGTGTGCCACCTTCTACAGACATAGTCTGTTGTGTCCCCAAACAATTACAATAGTAACATCAAAGATACCTGATTTGATATTATCATTACAGATAGAATAATGAAAAACTCTGAGACATTGTGAGAATTATCAAAATGTAACAGACATGAAACACATGCTTTTAGAAACATGGTACCAATTGACTTGCTCTATGGTAGAGACTTGCTACAACCCTTTAATTTGTAAAGTACACAATACCTGCCACGTGCAATAAAATGAAGTGCAAGAAAGAAAATGAGGTATGACTGTATCTAAGTGAAGATAACTGTAGCCTAGTAAGCCTAGTATGTACTATTTTGATTCTGCTTGCCAAGAATTTTATTAAATATTTGATTTAACCTCTTTTTTTTTTTTGCTATATAGTGTGGGTGCTCTCAGAAAAGATAGAAAAATGGAAAAGTGAGAAATCACCCCAAAATGGGGATGGCCCTGCCACAATCCCTTTTCCATTCTCCTCTCAAGATCTTGGGCATGCATACACGTGCTTGGTATTAGTTTCAAGCCACTGGGTCCGGGGGTCAAACTGCTATCAACCATGTGGGAATCTAGCACCTTAACCACTATGCCACTTGCTGAGACCAATTTAGCCATTATTTAGATGTACTTTTTCTCTACATTTTCTACAGTCACTAACATAACTGTAAACAACAGCAAAAACAAGACCATGAAGAGAAGTGCATGCATGTGACCCATGTGGGCATATACACATGGGAGTGAAAAATTAACCAGACATGAATTAAATGTGGCCAGTGGTTATAAAACTTATTTATATAGGCCCATCATAGTGGTACAGGGAGAAGGGTAATGCTGCATGATTCTGGAACTACATGGAAGGTACAGGTTTGAATCCCAAATTGGCTAGAACACTCCAGCCAGGCCTACGTATGCCTGGGATCTTGGCTGGGTAAGAGGCTGAGAGAATGATTATGGCATGACAAGGGATGTCAGGGATTACCTTTTTCTCTCTTCAGAAATAAATAAACGTTCTAAAAATAATAATTTAAATAATGAACTGATATGTTAGAATAAAAATGTGTGACTAGTGTTATTTTTTTTCCTTAGCTGAGTATTCTCAGAGTTTTAATCTGAGCAAAAATGTGACAGTTTTAAATAAAAGTATGTGCTCATATCGGTGGCATATTTCATTGAGAGATATATAGCTAAAGCATTTGAAATGAATTAATATTTCTGTCTTGACTGAGTCATTTTGTAAGAGCTTCCTTTTCATATTACACTTTTTAAATGGATTTAATAGCCAGAACATAATAAAAATAGAGGGAAAATAAAAGCAATTTTGATTTATTCATTTATAACTACCAACATTCACACTATTTTTAAAAATTCCCTTAGATAGTAATAGTAGTCTATGTCTTTTTCTTTCTGCAAATTCTTTAAAATAGTTAATGACATTCATTAATTTGTAACTTTGTTATTACATTATCTCTTATAGCTCCTTCAGTCTTTTTTATTATTCATTTTTTAGCATTAAAGATTTAACAAGATGGAAACAAGTTAGTCCAAGGGAAATTTAATTCTATAATTTTGACTTGTGAATTTTTTTCATGAGGTATACTGCATGCATATCTTGAAAAAACAATTGTGTACTATAGAGATGCGCAATGGTTGAATTTATTATAATTCTTGATATAAAATAATTGTACATATTTATGGGTTAGGGTGTGATGTATTTGTTACATGAATACAATCTGTAATGATCAAAATAGGGCAATAAACCAGTCTCTGAGTCCTTTATCCAATTTCATTTGTACTGATCTGTTTGATATTTCATGCTAACATCAATTCCCTCCTCAGGGCACTTGTACTTGCTATTCCTTCTGTGTGGAAGTTTCCCTTGCTTTATTCAGAGATAATAATCATGTAAAATGATTTTATCAAATCAATTGTCTCCCCTATGTACACTGTCTATCATCCTTAAGATATTGTTCATAGTTCCTATGGACACTCCCCTATTTGTTCAGCTATCATCCCCAACCAGAATTTAAACATCTGAGAACAGTGATTTTATTTGTATTATTTACATAATCCTGCTCAATAACTAAATAGATGCCTGTTTGATTGTAGACTTTTGAGTCCAATAGTATTAATATGTTGAATACTGGGACCAGCAGTTAGCATAATGGCGCTATGTCGGTGAACTCCAATGTAGTCGACCACAGTTCGAGTCTCAGACCAGGTGGCTTAAACTCACGCCGGGCGTGTGTGTGTGCATGCCCATGACCCCCAGAGGAGAATGGAGGAGAAGGGATTACAGCGTGGCCATTTCCCCTGGGAGGTGATTTCTCACTTTCTGTCTCTCTCTCTCTGTCTTTCTGGTGCGTGCACTCACCCTATAGCAAAAACCTCTATTAAAAAGAATGTTGAATATTTAGAACATAGAGATTGTACTGAATTATCCATTATATAAACTTTTTTTTTTTTTGGAGATGTTTTTGCTATAGGGCACTAGCACTCACCAGAAAGACAGAGAAAGACATTAATTTGAGATTGAGAGCATTATTTTCATTAAATATATAGAGTTTTGTACCTTACTACTACTTATAAAATTGAGAATTTTTATAGTTATTTTAATGTTTGTTAAAAGTATTTTTTAAACTGATGCTCATAGCTTTATTTTCAGTAAAATAACTTTCAAAAAGCTGGAGGATTCTCATATTCTTAAAGTGAATCCTATGTCAGTCACTATATCCAAAATTCTTCCTAGGTACAAATCTCTAGTATGATTTATGTATCTGCTTTCTTACTACCATGACTTCCAAGGCAATAAGGGCAGTATCAAGTATAGATTCCTGATAATACACCATTCAAAATGATAGCAGAAAAGAATAACCATTTACCTATTATTTTGTGTAGGCACTAGGACAGAAAAGGG